GCCAGTCACCATAAGGGGCGCTGTGGTGACTGGCTGGGCTGTTCAGGGCGGCGCCAAGCACCACACAGGAGGGACCTGTGTCCCGCAAACTCTCCTACCCTGTAAAGCTGCGGCGTTTTGTTCACGCAGCTTGCCCCCCTTTCATGCCTTCGTTGTTATCTGTTAGAAAGGGCGTGCGCCTTCCAAGTGCAAGTGCCACGCGCTTCTGTGTTTAGCTTTGGGATCAAGCAAGGTGTTGGATTGTATATTGCGTCTGGTGGTGGGTGAGCAACACCCACGCACGCCGACGTGACGCGGCCTGTCAACCACCGTTGCTCCTAGGTGGCTCCAGCGCCGAAACGCCGCATGTTGGTGTGAACTGACTTGGCTGCGTGGACACGGCTGTACTGTACCAATTGCGGTGCTTGCGGTGGCAGAACCGCCCGGTCACCCACGGTACACTTTTTACCCAGTCCCCGGGTGACGTGATGCCCTGACAGCGGCAGCTGCGGGGGCGGCTAGTACGCAGGGTTGCACACACGCCTAGAATTATACGTGTGGTTATATAAGTGTCCGTACACCTCCCACAAGCTCAGCAATCCTGCATCTCGCCTAGATCCCGAGTGCAAATCTCCGCTATCCCTCGACACCGCGGCTGTAGGGAAGCAAGCGCTACCAGGCTCTGCGCATAGGCATCATCTCATTCATCATGGCGCACGTCCTCAGCAGCGGCCGCCAGGCCTGTGCAGGGAGCTTTGCTTCCTCCCGGAGGACCGCGAGCTGCGCTTTACGTCCTCGGCTTGCGCGCGCGAGGATCGTAGTTAACGCGGCGGCTGTCATGGACGTTGGCTTGGATTCCTACTGCTGCCTGGTGAGCGGTCCCCCATCTCGCCGCAGCCGCGCGCCGCCGCCCGCCGCTGCGCTGTCTGATGCGGCCATTCTGGTAGCCTTCATGCCTGCGCCGCATGCCATAACGCGCTGTATGTGACTTGCTTGTACGCCATTTTGAAGGCACGCCGAACAGGAACCGTCGCAACAGCCACTTTAGACGCTTCCAACTGCAGATCTGCAGACGCTTCTGCACTGCTCACTGCTCACTGCGCCGCGCCGCCGCCCCGCCCCCCTTTGCAAAACCCCCAGGGCCTCGCGCACTGTTTCCGCAAGAAGGAGGACGGCAAGCTTGAGGATGTGTTTGTGATCGAGCCCCTCAGCGCCACCAGCCTGGAATGCATGGCCACAGGTGCGGCCTCCTTATGCCCCACCCCACTACCGCCAAAAGTGCGCGCCTGCCACCGCACCAGCATTCGAGCGCCCCGCTGCGCGCCGGCCGCCATCCGCCATGCCCTATCGGCACGGGGCCGCCCCGCACGCCGCGCCGCCCGCACATGCGCCCACACGACGCCCTGCCCACCGCCGACGGCGCCCGCTCGCGCCGCGCCCGCCGCCCGCGCCCAGGTGCCCGCACGTCCTTCAAGGTGGCTGTGGGCGTGAAGGTGGCGGACGCGCTGTCGCGCAACAAGGGGGCGCTGCCCGAGGCCTTTCAGGACGGCCTGTGGTGCGAAAAGTACGACGCGCGGCTGGACGCGGCGGCGCGGACCTGGCAGCGGTCGCACGCGCAGGACAACCTCATGTGAGTGGTCCGTGGGGAAATTGGGTCGGCTTCCGGGCGGCTTCTGGGGCTTTGCAGGGATGATTAATCACTGTGTGCGCGCGCGCGCGTGTGTGTGTGTGTGTGTGTGTTTCGGGCGTGTGTGTATGTGCGTATGTGCGCGCGTGGAGCGTTCGGCACTAGCGCGTTGTGCTCGAGGCGATTTCTGCAACGGGCTGCTTGTGGCCGGGCTGGCCTTGCAGGTTGGCCGCATGGCCCTGCGAGCACGCGCAGCAACGTGCCAGTGTGAGTGGTGACCCGGTCTATTGCCTCCCTGTCAAACACGCGCACACACACACACACACACACATACACACACACGCTTTACCTGCATCACTACCTTATCTTATCCTCTTCCTCTCACTCATTCGCGCCCACGCGTGCGCAGGGACATCGTGCCGCTGGGCAAGGCGCGCTCCAACTTCAACTTCTCCCTGGATGACAAGCGCGTGCTGAACATGGACAACGTTGTGAATGATGACGACAACATCAAGCAGGTGCGATGCAGTAGCAGCTGCTGGCATGGGAGTTTGGTGTGTGTGTGTGTTTGTGCGGGTGTGTGTGTGTGTGCGTGGGTGTGTTGAGAGTGTACTGGCTCGCGTGATGTGCCGGTATTCGACGCTTCCGTTTTCAACACGACGATGCCCATGGCGTATCTTGGAGTCTGATCTGGGCCTCGCGCGTTCGGCTGCACTGCCAAGAGCCTTGCAGCGGCTGACAATTTTGGTTCCGCCTTCCTCTCCCCGTCAATTCTCCCCTCGTTCCTCCATTCCCTGAAACACGCACACGTCACAACCGCGACCCCAAATATCTCAGGATATCTCGATTGATGTCTACGGCCGTGCCGAGAAGCAGGAGCGCGACGAGAAGATGGCTGCCGCCGCCGCCGCGGCCATCGCCGCCTCTGCCGCCGCCGCCGCCGCCGCTGCTGAGGAGGAGTCCGAGGAGGAGGATGATCTGGATGCCCTCCTGGCCGGGTGATCTGGTGTGATGATCTCATCTGTGGTGTGAGCTGTAGATCACGGCAAGGTGACGGCAGGCCATGCGTGGCGTGGTCGGGCCGGTGTGACGAGCACCCGGCCTCCTTCACTCCTATAGGTTGTGAGGCCGATTTTCCTTGTGCATGTGTGCGGACGTGTTTCTGTGCGAGCGCCCGCTTCCAGCTGACCTCATTTTTTGTGGGGCGCGGCAGATGAAGCATGGCGGCGAGGTGGTGCGAGCAATGGGCAGCGGGACGCGCTTGCAGCCGGCCACCAGGATTTGGGCAGCGGCCTGTGCGGGGCAGCCACATATTGGCAGCGCACGCAACCCTGCTGGGCCAGGCGATCCTGGTGGCGTGGCACCAGCTTTTTTGGGCGCACGCGCCCATTCGGCGCGCCCGCATTTCTTGGTGTAAGTTTGACAGCTGCGGCGACCCTTTGGCAGCTGACGGCAGCAGCTTGGCTACGGCAGAGAGCGGAGAGCAGCAAGGGAGGATAAGGGAACAGAAGCCGCTGCCTGCGAACCAACCTTGTAGAAGTGCTCAACGATAACTTGATGTTCGGCGAGCGATGGGTAGTCAGATACGTTGGCAGCAGTGGACCATTGCTCAGGGTGCAGCGTGATCTCAAGAATTTCCAGGTCAGCATAGCTGCACATGCATCTGTGCGCGACACGTGTCGCTCTTTGCGGCGACACCGCCTGGCCCCCTTCCCCTGTGTGTGCCCCTTTCACAACTGTCAGACCCCATCGGTGACTAGTATGGGTGAGAGAAGGTTACAAAAGGCCGCGGCTTGCAGGGCGGGCCGGCTACCTACACGTGGCCACGCTCGTTGTCCTGCCGGCAACGGCCAGCGCCCTTTCCTGACAGCGGGCGGGGACCCGCCGCCGCGCTCAGACGCGTATGGACATGACCCCCTCCACTGCGCCGCTGAAGAGCTGGCCGAGCGTCTTGCCGTCCACCTTTGCCGTCTTGAAGTCCTCCCGCAGGCTGATCACGCGCAGGGCGTCTCTGGCGTGCGCGCGTGGACGGACGGTTGATGTGGGGGACGACAACAGCACAGAGTATACATCGGCTGATTTGGGGATTCGAGCATCAGCGGCGGCGCACGCGCCAGGAGGCGGCTTGCGAGGGGTGCTGGTGGTTTGTGCTGTCAGGCCCGCCTGTTGCAGGGGCAGCAGGCTGCGGGGGACAGCCGCGGCGTGGGCGGCCCCGAGGGGTGCACGGTGCCCTCTCGACGCCGAAGCCGGGAGGGCGCCAGCCCCGTGCGGCGCCTTAAACCCTAATGGAAACCCCTAAACCCACCTGTGTGCCATGCGCAGGCTGCCGTTTACGAGGCCCATGAGGCTCTCAGGCGCCACCACCAGCACGTTGACCGTCTTGGGGGGGTGGGTGAGGGGAGGATAAGGTTTGCCCCAGCCCCGCGGGTGCAGGTCGACGGAACCACGGCTCCAGGGCTGACTTTGATGCGCGGCCGTTATGAGGGGCCAAGATTGGCTGGCTCCGTCTGATAAAAGCGAACTGGTACCCCATCCGCCTCACCGCCGGCCCCTACCATCCCAGTGCTCCCTGCAAAATTGCCACGCGGAATCGCGGGCATACGCACCCATGCACACCCGCGCCACCACCACACAGTGTCGAGGCTCGCGTGCACCCCGCGCGCACACATCCCGCGTGCCAACCTCGCTCCCCCGCATCCTCCCACCTGCTGCAAAGCTGCCATCTCCTCGTCCACCGCGGGCACCCCGTAAGCCCCCAGGGCCTCTGCATACTCCGCCACGTCTTTCTTCCACTTGAGGGCGCCCGTGGGGGAGTAGGTGTAGCGGCCCATGTGCTGCAGCAGCACCGCGTGGGTGCGGCGGCCCACCTGCGCGCGGGCGTGCGGGTGTGCGTTTGTGTGCATGTGAGCGTGTATTGGGTGCGAGGTGGGTGCTGTGGGGGCTGTTGCAATGGTGGGCGGGAGTGTGTGTTTGTAGGTCGGGGGTGGGGGGTGCCGCCTTGCAAGAGGAGTTGCTGTGTTACGAGCGCCCACAAGCTGGCGTGCTGCTTGTGTACAATAGAGTTGGACCGCATGCACAGGCGCTGCCCGCACACCAGCAGAGGGGCGCGCCAGGGGCTGCCAATGAGTTTGGTGGTGTTGGGGGTACAAGATGGCCATCGATGCGCTCTTCACCATGTCCGTGGCCACCCCTTGTGCCTTCTGACGTGTCTCGGCAGCAAGCAACATGGACAGAAAACCGAAAAACGCAACAGGGCGCGCGCACCTCTGACAGCAGCGCGGTGAGGTTGGGCCCCTCCAGCGTGTCGTGCGCCGCCGCGCCCAGCGCGCTCAGCATGCCGGTGCCCATGAGGCAGGCGGAGGTCGGACGGTCGAAGGACAGCGCGTCGTCGCGCGGGACAAAATCGGCGCGGCGCTGCTCGCTGTAGAGCACGCGCTCGAGCTGGTGGGAGAGGTGGTGGGGTGTGTGTCGGGGTAGGGGGCGCGTGAGTATGTGGGAGAGGTGTGTGTATATGTGTGTGTGTGTGTGAGGGGGGGGGGGGCGTGTGGGTGTGCATGCGTGCATGTGTAAATGTTTGTGCTAGTGTCTCTGCCTTGATGCATGCATATACATGTATGCATATGTGTTTGTGTGTGTGTGTGTGTGTGTGTGTGTGTGTGTGTGTGTGTGTGTGTATGCATGCGTGAAGGTTTGCAAATAAAACATGTGATTGGGGAGGTGCCCAGCGTGCGCCAGCACCATGGCGAAGCGAAAGTCACCAGTCATGCGCGGCGTGGGCCCCAGCGGGGCGCCAAAAGCCCTGCCGTAAACCTTCGCCACGCCGCGCGTGGCAGGCCCTGGGCTGAGCGGCGCTGGCTCTTGCCCACGAGGGCCCAACAGCGTGCCTCCCACCCTTCCTCTCTCGCAGGCAGTCGCACCACCTTCAGACTTGAGGAGACTTCAAGCAGCGACACCCTCAAAATCCACCCCGGCCCCCACCTGCGTGATAAAGACGTCTACCGCGCGCCGCAGCACCGCCGTCACGCCGTCCTCCGCGGCCCTGAGCAGTGCCAGCAGGGCGCCCGCCGCGGCGCCGTGGTCGGCCACGCTGGGAGCCACGGCAGGCAGCACCGCAGACTCGAAGTGCGCCTGGGCATCACTAGTGATTTGGGAGACCAGGTGGGCGGCCTCCAGCACCTGGGTTGGTTGAGGTGCGGTTGGGGAGCAGTTGGAACGGGTGGAGTGGTTGCAGCACCTGGGTCAGTCGGGATGATAGGGGGTGCATCCTCAGTGGTCGGTTGGAGCACCAGCAGCAAGATGGGAACGTGGGGCGGGGCGGAGCTTGCGCAGGGGCCAGGCTGGCCGCCATTGATACCGCAAGCAGCGAAAGGGGGACGGGAACGGGGTGGCGACGCCGCCGGCCGGCAGCGCTCCAGGTTTGTATGATGGAAGGACCTCTCGGCCGCCCCTGTCCCAGGGGGGTGCGGCCAGCTGCAGGACCGTGCAGGTGAACGCCTCAGGCCGAGCGCGTCCAGCCCCGAGGGCGCGGACGCAGGGGCGCGCGCACCCTGCGTATGCGGTCGTTGACGAATGTCTGGGCCATCTGCGTGCTGCTGGAGCGGTTGATGGAGCCGAGGCCCATCCTGAAAATGGAGGCCAGGGCGCCGCTGCCGCCTGCGGTGCAGAGCTCGAGGCTGTACTCCACCCCGCCCGCGATGTGCCTGGGGCGAGGGGCGTAATGTGTGTTGTGTGTGTTTTGTGCATGTGTGTGAGTGGAGGGGTGGAGGGGTGCCCCACGCGCATGCGAGCGTCCACTGTGAGCTTCTACCGAATGCATTTACTGATGTGAAGACACCAGCGGTTGTCTGTAGAGCCGTGGGCGCATGTATGCCAAGCCGTGGGGGCGCCCGTGCCATGATGACGTCGATTGGTGAGCCTTAGGCGGCGAACACCCCACCTGGCCAGCTGCTCCAGGAGGCACCCGGGGTGTGCGCC